TAGAAATCAGTGGTTAAGTTGTATTTACAACACTGTTCCAGAACAGTTCAACCCAAATATTCCGATGTGTGCAGCACATTTTATGGAGGATTTCCTGATCCTGGGAGAGCAGACTACAATGCCGGCTGTTCTGACTCACTATAACTTACGTTTCATCTTCAATGTAAGTACATTTTCATATTTAAAGAATTTGCCACTGACGATTCAAATGCAAGTTTTGAGCAGTGTAGAGTAGCGCTTGTTTGTCATTTCTCCGATCACAAATGCAGACATGGTTTTATGTTTACACGGCGCGATGCAACGCAACACGTAAAAAGACAGTATAAGTCATTATAATCAGTAATTATGTCCCCACTGGATGCAACAAATGCCTCGTTTATAATGGGTTTTAATGTTTTTGTCTCGTCGCTCCGGCTGGACAGGGCATCACAATATGGTAAGGGGCGTTACATTTCAGTCACACGCTTGAGGTAGTCGGCCAATCACAACACACTGGATAGCTGGCCACTCACAGCACACCTCGCTTTTCAGACCGATGAGCTTTGTAAAAATCAATGCGTTTCAGAAAGGCGGGGCATAGAGGAGAAACAATAATGTACAGTAAACCGCAGAAACACATTTCATTACACCAAATACACAAAATAATGTTTTTTTAGCAACATCATATGACCCCTTTAAAACTAAAATAAATCATTTTAATTGCTACAAGTGATTTTAGGCATCACAACATTTACATTAACAGTATGAATTTTTTTTTTACTAAATATAACATTTAACAGTGTTTTAAAAGATTAACTTTAAGTGAGCTTTAGATGGTGACAAAGTTAATCTAAATATTAAAACTGGAAATGAGCATTCACAATGAAATATAGTATAAACAAATGTATCTGTAATATTGGCTGAAAACTTATATAGTACAGATATATTATGCATTCCTGGTTTAATCACCTATAATCTAGACATTACCCTGCAGTATAATTATATAAATAGGGTACCCTACACACAAGAGTAAAATCTCATAAATGTTCAATAAGCCAAAGACAATGTAAGTCATAAAATGTGGATTTCAGATTGGCAAGCAAAGGTTTTCTGATTCCAAAATTACATACTCTCACCTTTTTCATACAAGCCAGTTTTTTCAGCACCAGCTCTACATCCTCATGATCCTCCTCCTCATCTTCATCGTCCTCCTCTTCCTCCTTCTCCCCTGCCCTCCTGTCTCTGGTTGGCAGGTAGGGCTCAATGAGGATGGACTCTGTGCCTCTGATGTCACAGCGGCAGTAGGGGCATGTGTGCCCGTCTGACTTCTGCATATCAGAGGGAGTGACACAACTTTCAACACACAAATTCACATACTTATTTAATGCACAGGGTACTGAAACCATGGACTCAATTTCTTAGCTCCCAAGGGCATCCTTCCCCTGAACATCATACCACAAGAAAGATTTGCTTATCTTATGACATCTTACGAGAGTTGTACTAGTCTTTTGAATGTGTTACATTGTAAGATGTAGAGCTGCCGAAATGCATCACATCCTCTCATTCTCTAGGGTCAATGTGATCTTAGCATTCATTGAAGTGTGACTTGAGAGAAGTGGAAAATCAGTCACAATGCACACATATGCTTCATCAAACACAGGCAGGAAGCTTGAGCCAAAATGTCAGGTCATGTTGCATGACATTGTGGCAAACACTGTATTTCATGCAGAACTGCTTTCTGAATGACTTTGCTTCATGCAAGTATTTCATTATCAGTTTATGTTAATGGTTTATTGTTATAAAAATAATTATATTTTAATGAGATCTATTTATGATGTTTATATATATGCACCAACAATGGAAAAACACAACCACGTAATCATGTATAGTTGTTCTGGATGTGGGTTTGCGGTGTAACCTGACCATGCTTGTGAGTGTGAATGTAAGTGTGAATAGGAGATGGTTATAAAGGTCTGAGCACAATAGGAAAAAATATACCTGCCAGCCAGTCAAGCAGGGTTGACACAGCAGATGGCCGCAGGGCTGAATGCGAGTGTCCTTGTCTCGTTCTGTGCAGATTTTGCAGAGCTGAAATGTGCTGCCAATCTCACAGTATAATTCATACTGCTCCTGAAGAGAGAAGTACAACAAATAAAGGAGAGAGAAAACAGTTAATCTTGCATTAGAGAAAAAAAAATGCACTCACATTCAAGAAACGAGCATATTTCAAATATGCAACCAAAAAGAAAAAGAAAAAAGGAGAAGCAGAGGACCATGTATAGGATAGTGTAATGTTTAAATGAACAATTAAAAATGTAGGCAATAATTTAATGTCGTATTACATAATATTAATTATTATTATCATTTACATTTTTTTTGTAATGTTGTGATCCAAAGAAAGGGCATTGTAGTGTTAGTTTAGTATCAATGAAATACTATTATAGTTTTTGTTAATATTTTGAGGGTTGGCTTTTATATATTTTTCATTTTAATTTTTGTAAAAATTTTAGTAATTTGTTGTGTTTTTGTCATTTTCTGTTTATATATATATATATATAAATGAGATAAAAATAAATGTGCTGAAATATTTTTTTTTTTATATTTTATTTCAGTTAACATTTATTCTATTTGAAGTAAAGAATACTTCAGTGACTTTGATTCGACCCTTGTGAGTTGGACTGCACAGGCTGGTGAGGTCAGGGTTCACATCACGCCCATCAGGGTATAAGTAGCTGCAGATATAAGCATTCCAGATTATGTTAACACTATGATGTCAGATTTAATTTCAGAGTGTTTTTATTTTTTTCTTGAAATAATATTAGATTGTGAACTCACCAGCCCTCCCTGAAACCTTGTATGAGTGCTTGGTAGAGAGGTGTATTTTGGGGAATGGTTTGCACAATACTGCCATCACTGGTCACATGACCAATCGCCCACTGACCCATTTGTGTGCAACTGAGACGAAAGATGTAGCTGTGGGGAGAGCCAGTAAGAGTTCAGATCTAAACCACTGTAATTCTGTAAGTTTAAACCTAGATAAACAAACTGTAATCATTTGGTTTATTTACTTTTTTGGTTAGTTGCATAGCTAGTTCATTTTAGCCCTGCTGTAGTTTGGTGTATGTCTTACCTGCCAGGACGATGTCTGTAGTGCTCTAGTCGGACCCTGACCTGGTCATAGGTGAGAAACGCCATGTATCCTGGGTGAGTTACTGCTAAATGATTCCAGTTTCTTAACAAAGTTGACCAGGGCTGAAGGAAGAATAGAATATTAAATAGCTTATAGCAAAAAGAAAGTCTCACAAAAATGACTGAATTCATGGAAGAAAAAAAACATTTGTCATGTTTTTATAGGTAATTATAATAAATATTATAGTATAGTATAAATAGTATAAATATAATCATAGTAAATATTATAGGTAATATCTAACAAAAGTTCTCCTCAAGCTTAGGATACCTGAAAAAGCCTGGTGAATATATCAAACTCAAAGATTGATATGTGATCATTACAAGTGAGATCAACCGTGGACTTCAAAGCCATGGCCTCCATTCCCTCTTCAAAGTAATGAACCCTCCTCAGCTGCTGTTTAAAAATGTTCCACTGCACTATACATCTGAGAGAGAGAGAGAGAGAGAGAGAGAGAGAGAGAGAGGGGGGGGTTTTTCCCAAAAAAATTTATGCATAGGGTTTAAATTTTCAATACACATTAAAAAAAAAAAAATTCATACTTGTGTCCAAAGGCTTTCCTCCAGAAGTCTTTGGCCTCTGTCTTTGTAATTCTATAAGTATCACCCTGAAATCTTCCCCCGGGAAACAAAGTTTGTAGTTCATTCAACATGTGGCTGAGGAGGAGTGACAACTTGGTAAGATTTCTCCTGAAAAAGGAAACAAACGTTTAAAAAAAAAAAAAAAAAAATATATATATATTTTGTGACTTGCAAAAATATTACCCAGACATATATTACACGGTAAAACACATTCGTCTGTATATAAAGTGGGTAGAAATACAATGTGCACAGAAGAGCTGTGGTGCTTGTTTTCTGATTTGTGTGCATATGATAATTGTTGGTTGATGTGTGATATAATCGTGTCAACAAGTTGCACAAACATACACTCAAAAAGAAACAAAAAGCTGGCATAAGCATGATGCACTCTAACTTCTAGAAACAGGAAGTAGTACTTTGATGCATCCTGTCCTGTGTGTCTGTGGTGGGGCTGACAGAATTTTCCATTACTAATTGATCAAAGAGATTGCCATGGTAGCGTCAGCATCCTCTACACAGCATGGCACAGATCGGCACCTCTCATCTGTTATTCTCTTGTCAATAAATCTGCAATCTGATTTAACAAGGATTAAATCAGATTGCTGATTTCATTTTATATTAAGTCTAAATGTAGAGAAAATAAATAGCATATTTATTAAAAAAGCACACAACAGGGCAGATGTAATATGCATTGTATTTAAAAATGGTGTAGTAAGTGATGTTTGAAGAAACCAATGCTTCAACTTTTCATTGTGATATAATAATGACTACGGTGTATTTTTGATGTTGTAAATAAGATTATGTTCTACAAGAAAATTCTATTTCAGTCTTTCTACTTAAACATTTCCTGTTCAATTCAACATGTTACTTGCTCTTTCTCTGTAATTATTTGTGAAATTTACTAGCAATTTTTGAGTGAAAAAAGTTTTACCAGCAATATTTTTGTTAATGTTTGACTGTGGATAATGTGGTTACTGTGTTGAGATGCATATGCAGTTGGGTGCTAAACTGACCAACCATGTCTTGAATGCAACAAATTTTTCCACTCAGACAATATGACCGCTTTGTTTCTACTTTTAGTAGCTTAGCCACAAAGCCCTCACTTTGTCTTACCTTTTCTCTGAGCAGTGCCTCTGAAGCCTGAAGTTTCTTTTAGTCATGCTCTTAAATTTTCCACCACATACTGTCCTGTCCACTAATCATGTTAGCCCAGCAGTCACAAAGTAGGTGAAATGAGCTACATTTACCCGCATGTACTTTATTAGGTTTGTGTGGTGATTCCGCTCTCTCTTATAGTGAATAAATTAAATGAATTAGTTACAGGAGAGATATAATATTTTATGCTTCTCAATTAAAAATCAGAACTTTGAGGAACAGGGTGTGACCCACTGTATCTCTTTATCAAATATATTAAGCATGGTGTTCAGAATATGTGTATATTTTGTCAGCATATCAAACATGTGTATTTAAAGTATGCATACATTCACACATAGTGGTACTGCTTCTTTTCTGAACACTAAAGGTCCAGTTCTGACATGTTGTGTGAAATATTGAATACATTGCAGCTCAAGTGGAAAGTAAAAAAAGAATGTTGTGACTTGAAGGTCCTGCTATTCAGCTTCACACAGAAGAGAAGGTAAAACATTGCGAACAAGCCTTATATTTACTGGCACTTGGAGATAAATGAGGAGTAGACCAAATATTATCTATTACGTCTCAGGTTATTCTCAAATTTGATGTATTATTTGAGGAGCATATTTCACTCTCTCATTTTGCCATGCATAAATAAAATAATAATAATACTAATAAAGTAAAGTTTTGTGATCAGGAAGTAAAGAGAACGGCCACTGCTGTGCCGAAACATGACATTAAACTGCTGGCCTCCATTGCCAGAGGAAAGTTTCCTCCGTTTCCATGATGATAATGTCACACTATACACACTGGTCATTAGTAGTCACAGCAGACCAGAAACTTGGTCAAGCCTCACAACAAAGTCTAAATAGGGACTGCTATGTTTGGTTTCTTAAGATCGAAAACAAGCCGTTTTATTGCAGTCAGGTTATTGGTAAGGTTTACTAACGTTTTTACTAGGATAATTTTTTCCCATGCAAAACCGATCCACATCATTATATGTGTGTGGACATGCCAGCATTAATATTTACATTCTTATGGCAGACATTTTTGCTAAACATTCTATTTATTGGTACAAGTAGCATTCAGATGTTTAACTTTATCAGTGTGGTCATTTCATTTGATGACCAAATTTGAATACTTTTCTACCACTACTTCAATCGTTTTAATACTGTTTGTGTTTTTGCACCTTCTTAGTGGTCTTTTTTTTTAATGAGATTAGACCATTACAACAACCATATAACCAATATTAGAGAAGTAGCAATAAGCCTTGAATTAAAGTAGTATTGACATTTTCAGATTCTTCAAAGTTACCAAAAAGTGATTGCATTTTTGTCCCAGCTAAATGGTAAATGGGGTTGGGGGAACATCATAGTGCTGCTCTATTGAAGAAACGTGTTAACAACTTTAATTTACACCCACACACACACATACATAATATATACACATTCACAGGCTTTTAAGTGGGAGAACTTGCACAATTGGTGGCTGACTAAATACTTTTTTGCCCCACTGTAAAAGCAAGTTAACTTTTTATATCTATCTAAGTTAAGGTTCTGACATTTGTCTGAATCAACAGTCTAAATTAGTGTTGAAACCAGTCACTTTCTTCACACAATTATAGTGTAGTTAATGCAGATATCCTGTTTTATGCATGTAACTGCTGATGAGTGGTTGAGTCAGGGGCGCCGCTAGCAATTTTGGGCCCTATGAAAGAAAATGAGGTTGGGCCCCCTACCGTACCCATACTGCACCAAACATACAAGCCAACCTAGTTATGCAAAATCTTTGTCTGCAATTTAATAATACTGACATACTACTTTTGCTATTGCTTTTAGGTATTAGTATTTTGTCATAAACCTACCCATAGCCACGGAAGCATATAAGTTCCATTTGTTCGAGATGCATCTCCATTGCACAGACCGAAGACAAATATATGAGAACGAATATATATTTGTGTTTTGTGATTTTAGCTAAATTATATTTTTTTCTTAAATTTTTTCAGAGAAAGCATTTTGTTAGGCTACTCATGCTAGCTACAGCGTGATCAGTCACACAAAAGTCATCAGATTAAATATTGGCTCAGTGTGACCAGGGCAATATTTTAAAACATAGAACGTCGAGATGTGTATCCTATTTGAAAAAATCAGCATCGCAATCAGCAACTGGTAAATTGAGATTCCAGTAGCTTTACTGGCATGGTAAAAAGGCTTTACAAAGCATTGACAGCGCTTCGAACCAATGGTGTTAAGCATTATCAAATTTAGAGGCTACAATTCATAGTTTTCAGTCCTGTGACTGGCTCAAAGACCTGGTGGGCAAAACATCCATAGAATTGCAGCACAAGCTTGTCAATTTTCCATTTGTTTCCAATCCACAAATATTTAGATCTTTTGATGGACTTATACATCTACGTCGAACTCGAAGACATCTCTAATAACAGTTCACCATTTGATCTCACTCAGTGACTCTACGTAGGTCGGGAAAGAACCATGCAGTGAATGGGGAAGGAGGGAGGAGGGGTAATTTTGCCGGAAATGCAGAAATAAGCCTTAATTTTGTTTTATTTATAACTCTTGGGTAGATACATTTATAATTTCCCCCCCCCCCCCTCCCCCTTAGCTGCACCCCTGGTTGAGTTTACGGAAAGCGTCATTTTTAGCAGAGCTAGAATGAATGAAAAGATTAAAATCTCTATATATACACATACACACACTTACATACAAAATGTATTATTTCATTAATTTTTTTTATTTATTTATATATGGTTACACTTTATTTTGATAATGCAGACATTATACAAACTATAAGTAACTTTGCAACTACACGTTAACTAACTCAATAATTTGCAACATGTCAAATAACCATTAGAGAATTGTTAGACTGTTAGGTTAGGGTTAGGGTTAGGCTGATATGTACTTGCATATACGTTACTTATAGTCATCAGAATATCTGTTAGGGAACCATTAAAAAGAAGCGTTAACTTATAATAAAAATGTGTGTGTGTGTGTGTGTACCTAATCTTAAATATTTTTTTTTTGAGTTTTTTTTGGGACCATTTTAGGGTTTATTATTTATTAATTTATTATATAAAATATATTATAAAAATATCATATATTAAAGGTTTTCTTTGATAGATCTACCTTAAACAAACAGGATCAATCTGCTTTATTACCTATATACCTTCTGTCTGTTTTTAAACTTTTAATATCATTCAGTCAGCTCAACTCTGATCATCTTTGAGATGTTTGAATATGTCCACCTGAAAAACACACATACTGAGCGCAGTACATAGACTAAAACTGACCTCTGTGCTGTTTGGTTTTCTCTTACCTGTAGCTTGATGTCTCTTCAAACATCTTCTCCTTGCCATCCTTGAACAGCAGCACAGCTCTATCTGCCTTGTCCAGCAAGTGTCGAATATGGATCCTCAGATAATCACCCTCGTCCCCCCGTGGCACGGCCATCATGGACCCCCTGTAGGGAGCCCATACTTCTGTCAGGTGGATGGAGGTCTCTGACACTAGTTCGGGAAGGTACGGCGGGCTGTTTTTAAGACCCAGCCTGGGGTCAGTGCTCAGTTTATGCAGTTTGTCGAGTCTCCTGAGAACTTTATCAAGAAGTTTACGGTCCGCGCTGGTGGGGGGCTGGGACATGGATTGAGAAGTGTCAGGAGTTTGACTCGAACGTCTAGCTGTTGCCATGATAGATGAGATATATCCAGTGTGCCACACGTAGAGTGCTAGTTAAGATTCAGACATGTGTCAGAATCAACAGTCATCTAAAATAGTGTTGAAACCAATCACTTCCTTCACACAATTGAAGTGTAGTTGATGCTGATATCCTCTTTTATGCATGTAACTGCTGCTGATGATCGGTCGAATTTTTGAAGAACGTCATTTTTAGCAGAGCTAGCATGAAAAGATGAAAACCTCTGCAGCTATAACTTATCAAACAACCAGATACAATAACAAGTGGTTCATTTGTTTCCCCATTATTCTCCGAAAAGAAATCGATTTTTAGGAAATGTGATTTATCTGAAAACCACTTCCCCAGTAACTATTTGTCCTGTTATCCCTGGTGATGATATAATGTAAAACAGCAGTTTAAACGTAGCTGTAATTGTGATGATTTCAAAAGGAACAGTCATCTTGCCACTGCAAAACTCTGTTAAATAATGCAGTTTACAAACCTTATGTTGTCCAAGTCAAGGTCCACGGGTCATATTAAGTGCGAAGAAGTGATGAGCAAAGTTTGTCATCAAGATACATTCCTCACAAGCAGAACAAGAAAAGCTTACCTACCCAAACAACACAGGCGCAACACCTGACCAAAAAAAAAACTATGCAGGTTGGTTTCAGTGAAAAAAGTGCTACTGCTCCATAGTAAAAAGGTGCAAAGTTCTAGTCATGTGTCCTTTTGCCATGTCTCCATTACAAAGACTGCTCACAAGCAAAGAGAAACCCAAAACCATGACACCAAAAATACTCTAAATACTAATGCTTTACTCTCAGATCTCTGGGTTCTACCATCACTCCACCCATACAGACATTTGGTGCTCTTGCTCAGCCTTTTTCTCTCTCATTCATTTGGTTTCTTTCAGTCTGTCTGATTTGATCTCTGTGTCCTAAATTTTGAAGAGGCACTCACGCTCATGCTGGTTAAGGACAGGAACTCAACTGCAGACATTCACCTCTCTTTCTCCCTCTCTCTCTCTCTGATCAGTTTCCGGGTAGCTCACAGGCAGACAAACAGGTTTGTTTTCTTTGTGTGTGAGAGTGAGCCGAGCAGCATGGGCTGTGTGCAGTTGGGACACTGTTTGAATTGTGGCATATTGGACCGACCATGTGTGAACGACTTACTGAATACATAACAAATTACTATAGAAAGAGGGAGCAAAGAGAGTTTCTGTGCTGTAGTAGAGCTGATTTTAAAGTGACATTTGATTATTACACAAATTAATTAATACAAAATGTATAGGCCTACCATACTGATATGAGATTTCATGCTATAATGTTAAATATATTTCAAATTGAAATTGTATATTTAATATTATGTAGTTTATGGTAAATGCATTTAAAATAAAATTAAAATTAAAAACGAAATAAATAAATAAACATAACGAACAAAAAATCAAGATGATAACTGATGAAACCAAAGCAGAAAAAACGATTTAGGGACTATATTAATATCATACTGACAGCTAACATTAGCTGACGACTTTTCTTGAGATTTACTTCAACTTGTTTTAAACAGCTGGTTCTGTGTGGCCCTCTAGTGGACAAGAAATGATTAGCATCTGCTACTCTGGCAATGTGTTGTGGCCAGAAGGGATACAGCAAAAACCGGAGGCTAACAATAAATTGAATTTTCTACCTATTAGATTGTGTTTTATTAAATTCTACACCTACCACAACCCTAAACCTACCCCTTACAATAATGCAAAAATAGTAATTATTGTTGTACAGTGTGAGAAAAATTACGCTATGATATGCACATGCCCAGTAGTTTTTGCTGTATGCCATCCAGCCTTAACCCTGACAATGCCAATACCTTTTATTTACTTGTTTAGCTTATATATATACAATATATATCAATTATTTATTTTTACTTTTTAAATGATTATATTCGGGTATCCCATATGTTTTTCATCTGGATTTTTTCAGTGATTTTTCTATGCTGCATAATCCATATCAATAATTGCTCAATTGCTCCGAAGCAAATAGCTTATTTGTGTAGTAAAGACAATAGATAGTACTTAAGCTGTTTAATTTTTTTTTTTTATTTGAACAATTATTGTTTAAAACTGTTCACAAATGTACATTTTCCTTCATCAGCAGAGGGCGCTGCTTCACAGCATTTCAGCATCAGTCAGAGACTCTTATAACAATAATAGAAGAGCTTTTGAAAAACGTGCAAGGTGATCTTGGTGTTCTTCTGACTGAACGATTTTGGTCCCTCTATATTGCTATAATGTCTACTATGTCCACCTTGTAGAGCAGAAAAAAATTATATGGTTACAATTTTTACTAATTACTGCTATTGGTTTGATTGCATAAAAGTTTTTCTTCTTCTTCTTAAGGCAATGCATGAGTGGTAAATGGTGAAAAAGTGTAAATGGACTGTTCAGGAAAAAAGACTTAAAAATTTAATTAGAAAAATTGTCTGACTGTCTATAAGATTAGTTAAAGGTAATCACATCAAGCACGTGAACACTATGTGTACTGTTTATTGTCTTTTTTCTCTGTAAAGCACTTTGTAGGCTACAAATTGTAGCCCTCATTTCCCTCAGGGATTAAAAAGAATAAAGTAATATATTGTATATTGTCAAATGTGTTTTGATTATGCAGCAGAAAACCTAATGCTAAATTTAATTGTGTGTTCAATTCAGTTTCAAAAGTTCATTTGCAGATCCTGGAATCGTCTTGTTAATCTTCAGTTGGCCCATGTGGACTAAATTAGCTGTGATTCAGCATTTTGACAGTATTGTATGTCACCAACTGACAAGTTCAGACCCACCATGGACTCTTCTTGGTGTTTTAGGGACTTTAAACACGGCACCTATCATTTTTTTCCGTTTGCTGTTCCACACCCGCTCAACCCCACACTGAAGGAAAGTCCCAGACTGGCCCAGGTAACTCCAAACCCCTGGTGTGAGGAGGAACTAAGGCTAGTGGGGTGTAAGCGCAAAGAGAGGGGTATGACTGACTGAGATTCTTATTAGCACATAATCTGATACTGTGCCTTGTTCCCCCCACCCATATATTTTGATTGTACATAGGGATATATCAGAAGGCTGAAGCTAATGATTTCAAACTCACAGCAAACACAGAACATTGTCCTTATGTTAGCATATAGGCTAGTTCTCATTTGGTTATTTCTATTCATATCGTTCTTGGAACGTTCTCTTTAGGTCCTGTTTTGTAACCAAACGCCATAACGTCTTCAGAACGTTCTAGGAACCAACAATTATTATCAGGCCTATGTATCTTTAAGGGATGGGGGTGCTTTCCAGATAAGATGCTGAGATAACACCGTATGAAAGTCAGACATTTGTTGATGTTATCGGTATGAGTCATATATCTAATCTCTAATGAGAAAAAAGGACCGTATTTTATCAGTACAATCAGTCACTAATGATCCGCTGACCGATATGAATGTGGTCAAATACAGGAAGACAGAAGGTTGCGCCTGGCAGGTTTCCCGACAAGCTGAAGCTGAGGGAGATCCCCGCCGAGATCCAGCCCGCTTCCTACTAGGCACAAGAGTATGAACATTAAAAAACGAGTGCGGCTGAAAGGAAAACAAAACGACACACCTGTTATCTAACAGCTCGTGACACATTTATGTGCACTGAGAGATGAAAACACAAACGCTGATGTACATGAGAAAGATTCAAAAGACAGTGTCTAACATGCCAAACATTTAACAACTAAACCGAAACCGATTCCATGTTCCCGTCCTACAGCCACCTAAAACGAAACCTTTAATTTACACGACGAATAAACTGATCCTGACTGTTAAGTACAAAGTACTTACTACTAATACTAATAATAAATGCTAAAATTTTCATCTAAACTGCAAAGAGCTTCAGCAGCACCTTTTAATCGCGTCGCAAATGAGAAGCTTGCGAACGATTCAGTTATAGCTGAAAGGGAAAGCCCCACAGTTCTCACCCGCCTACTTCCTAATTTGAGTGAATGAGAGAGGGAGACTCTGTGAATTTAGTTCAGATTACAGAGACAGCGAGCAGAACGGCGCACAGATGATCATCATGACTGCAGTGCGTGTTCAATAATAATAATGATAATATTAATGCACACGACATATTGTCATTGCCCTAAAACGTCATTATTCTAATTGCATGTGTAATTATTTAGGATTTTTGTTCAGTTCTTTTTTTTTTACTGATCATTTTAATAGAAAACTTGTGCATAAGAGAAGACTATGAATTTAAGTGCTTCAGTGAGCTGTGCTAAAACATCTTGAGCAGAGCAAATGTAAGTATGTTGTTTAATCTAGGCAACCTGAGGTGATAGTCATCTTGGGACCGAGTAGAGATTCAGATTTACACAATGTTGATAAAAGGATTCGTCTAGAACCCATATATCGCCTACCTGAGGACAATGACCATGAGTGGCAGTAATCACACTGTGCGATCTGTGCCACTGGATCTTACCAACAAAACCAGAGAGCGTGGGAGCTGCGCGCAGACGCGAGACCAAGGTCGCCCTAGACCTACTCCAGAAAGACAGGTGGAACCGGCGCACAAGTGCAGCAATGGACACGGAATTCTTCCATCCGAACCACAGGACTGTTGTGATGGATCAGTTTCGCAGACTACTCAAACAGACGCTGTGGGTATCATTGGAAATAGGACGCTTGAGGGTCCCAAGCAAACCCGAACTATAACCCCTAACGCTGCAGGAAAACCGGCAGATTCATCCATTTCCAAACTTCCGCCAAGGAAACGTCCTTTCCCGCTGGATGTGGATCATGACCACAGTGGTCCAAGAAACGATCCACCTAGCCCGGATCCAAAAGTTTTGAAGAACCCCGAGGCTCAGATAGACACAGTATCACAGCGGATATTTTGTACATTTGGACATAAACCAAGCGTTAATGACTCCCCGTTTGTGCCACACTTAACACCATATCGTAAGTTTTCAAAAATGTTTATTTTTAATGATCACTAAGTTTATATCTTAAGTGCAAACTTGGATGTCTTTGCGCAATTTAGTTTGTTATGTCATTGTGAAAGTATGTGTGTCCGTTTGTGTGGAGCGCGTGCGTAACATATGATTGCGCAGTCATGGTCAGTCCAGTCAGCGAGCTACAGTCAACACGAAACCATTGAGCTGATCAGCAGGATGTTTGGTTCAGCAGCCTGCAAAACGTGTCAGTGGGTTAACACGCGTAGGTGAAACCGGGTAGTGTTGTAAAACATAATGTTTCTCTGTTTTTTTTGCAATTTATAACCAAAACCGCATATTGACTATCAGTGTGTACATCAATAAAATACAAGGTAACACCGTTTTAAAACATTGACACTGTAAATTGTATGCATGAATTAATGTCAAAGTACTTTTCCCACACCTTCCCATTGTTGATTAAATTGACAGTCTTGGTATTACACCACTCCCCAGTCTCCATTATACAGAAAATCTAACAAAAATAATAATCTCCAGAATTGTGCAGAAAACTGTCACATATTGACATTATTACATTCCCCACTCTTACAGGTGCTGTGGCCAATTCTGACCCCCTGCCAGATTATTACCCCCATAGTATTGGTAGGTTTAGGAGTAGGTGTGGGGGAGGGGTTAGGATTAGGCAATGAGGTAGTGAATTGAGAGGGGGGTAATAATTTGGCAGGGGGTCAAAATTAGGTACAACACCGGCAATTAATTCTTGGTTTGTATGATAATGTGCCATGCAGAACTTTAGTTTGTTAGACCTTTTCTTATCTTTTCTTGAAGATAATATATCTAAACCAAATGTATCCACACTGCAACTCAGGGGCACCGTAATGGGGGAGAAGGTTAGGACGATTCCAAGAGCCCGACGAGGGAGAGGGGGCCCGGAACGTGATTTTTTTTTTTTGTGATTTGTTTGTGAATACAAATATTTCTTCTCCTCTGGGTTCATAGCAGGTTGTCCATATTTCCAGTGGCCTCGGCAGCCTCCTGCACTGGAGAGCACAGATCGGCTGCTGGCAGATATTGCTGAGGCAACACTTCAAGATGAAGATGGTGACACGTGAGTCTTGTACCCTTTATGAAGTCTCAGTCATTTCATGGCATGTTGTAGTTTAAGAATTGATTATGGTGAAACATCCCTCAAAATTGTCTATCATGCATTGCAGCAGGTAAAGAAATAGATCAAACCATATTTTATAATATGTACTGTATATTTAAATGGTCAGATTCATTGTTGAACTGCACATGGGTTTATTATTAGTAACTGTAGGTAAATTATGAGTATTAGTAGGGTGGACATGTACTTTCTGTATGCTTTTTGGAATTTCCAGATGATCCTAGATATGTCACTCTGACTCTTGCTTAGTCATCCAGAACAAAAAGAAATGTTAGTTAAATGTTAAATTAAGTGATAGGTTCAGTGTGCTTAAAAATATGTAGATGTGCCTTCTGTTTATTGTAGTCCTGGCTGAATCACAAGAGTCAACCCCTGTTACCCAGTACATTTCAACTTCCTATTAAAAAAGATTACCAAAATAATTTGATCTGATGATCCATACTGAAAACAGAGATTCTCTGTTCTATGTGAGAGCGAGGAAGGGAGATTGATTCTGGAGGAGGGTATGTGGGTATGAGTAAGAGTAACTGAGAGAAACTGTTTTTTGCTATTTCATGTACTGCTGTTTCAGGGGTTGGTTTTATGAGTGTGGCTGGTTATGAGGATGCAAGAGATGAACATTCTGGCTCCCTTAGGCTCTGGCACTAACACAAACACATGTACTGTGTTACTATAATATCTGAACATTTACTCAGTATGAAAATAGCCTTTCTCATGTGAGTGAAACTTCTCCAAAAATGACACCTGGTGTCACGCAATATTGATATCAAGGTTTAGTCATCAGCAGATAAAAACATCGCTGTAATGAAGCCAATTCCAATTTTGAGAAATGAAATATGTGGAGCACTTTTTTAAATTCGTATTTTTACTAACCCAATTTTTATTTGTCTCATCACACATAGCTTCATAAAATCTATCCCATATGTATGCTTAAAGGGATAGTCCACCCAAAAATGAATACTCTATGATCATTTACTCACCCTCATCCATTGTCTGTTGTCAGTAGTGTAGTGATGTATGAACTCATTGCGAAATCTGCATGGGGAAATCTTTCGCCCTCAAACGAAATTCCCGATTATGTTAAAATGACTGGATTCGCCTATGAAAATTCGCTGAACAAATAGGAAATGTGTCTGCACATTCAGACTTTCAGTCATCTTCAGAACACAATTCAGAACATTATATTCTCTCATTATTTTTGTCCGTCCATTGAGACTTTATGTTGTCAACATTTTAAAGGATCGGGTAAAATTAATCCATAAGAATCATTTAAGTCTCTGAAAAGACACATTATCGCTTTATATGATGATGAACAAATTTAATCAAGGCTTTTATTCACATATAATCAATGATCAATGCAGATACATACAGCACATCAAATATGGTAAACAGGCACTCAAGTGTGCTTGCTTGATGTTTGTTTTCATGTGCCACGCATGTACAATGTTTATTACTTTCAATGGATGGACAAACAAATGATGAGAGAATATTAAAAATGGCTTGAATGATTCATTAGATAAGAAGCTGTATGATGAGAAACATACCACTGATAATTCATTAAAGGGGTTCATTAGAGGAGTTCATTAAAGGAACAGTGATTCCTGAATGAATCATTCTTTTGAGTCAGATCTCTTGATTGAATCACTTTATCTAGTTCACAGAATCTGTTTGAATGATTTATTTCACAAATAGTACTGTTTCTGTTCTCAAAGATCACATCACTGACTTGCTCCACTGGAGAAAGGATATCTGTAAATAAGAAATAAAATTTTAGTTTGTTTCTATCATTAAGGGTCAAAATATACAGCATTCCTGTAGCTCAAATGGTAGAGCATGGCACTAGGGTCAAGGGATTTAATGGGAATGCAAACAAGTCATATGGGCCAATGGTGCTTTTGCATGTCAATGTAATTGCATGGACAAGAGCGACCAGTATACAATTCTTCAGAATTTCTTTTTTTATGTTCCACAGAAGAAAGAAATTCATGAAAATAGCATGCAAATGATGAGGTGTACTGTTATGGTGAACAGCTTTCTTAATAAAATGTTTAGTTCTGTTGCTATTTTGTTGGCTTTTTATTGGTTAGATTTTTTTAACCACATTCTCAACCACATTTCTTCCCTGAACTGATAGTTGTTAGCAAAGTTTTGGTTTCCAGTAGGTGCCTATTTCCTGGTTTCTGTCTATTGTTTACATATACATCTGTCAATCATGCTATTCAAGCAACTGCATTTACACAAACAGAAAAACAACCTTGTCTAACTTTATTTCTCTCACACTGCCTCCCCCCTCGTCTGTACTCTCTTACGTCAATGGGCTTCTCATGCTCTCAACTTGTTTTCTTCTCAGCACTTCACAGACCCTCATTTTCGGGAAAGCCTGATGTGAGTGCGAGTCTGTTGTGTGACTGCGGTTTTTTCAGGTGTCTCTCTCTCTCTCTCGCTCTCTCTCTCTCTCTCGCTTTCATCTTTTTCACTGCTTTGTGTGTTTAAAATGAATGGGCTCAAAAACCCAAACATCCGCTCTTCACTTCCTCCTTTACCGCTTTTTCTCTGTTGCTTATCAGTCTCTCTCTCCCCCTTTCGCTCTGTACTGTTATCTTATATACCTGTGCCATTTCTACTCTTCATACCTACTTTTTCTTCCTTCGTCCTCTTTCAAGATCTAGTTCCTCTAAAAATAAAAATTCGGTCATCATTTACTCACCCTCATATTGTTCCAAGCATGTACGACTTTCTTCATTCTGTGGAACACAAAATAAGTTATTTTGAAAAATGTCTCTGTGTTTTTTGTCCATTTAGTGAAACTCACTGGGGAGAAACCAATGCATGTGTTTCAGACCCCAGTGACTTTCAATATTGACAAAATATATCATTGACAAAAACAGTTCTTTAAAGTTCTTTTTTTTTTTTTCGCAAAAGAAAGGTCACATAGGCTTGGAGCGACACATATTACTGTTGCTCAAACAGTAGTGCATGATGTTGGTAATGCCATGGATAGCAAAGTCATGGATTTGTTTCTCTGGTAATGTAATCAATCCATTATAAGTCACTTTGAATAAAAGTGTCTGCCAAATGTGTTAATGGCAAAGATTTTTAGGTTATATAGGATGTAAAGGCTGTTTTCAAATCTCATTGCTATGCAGAGAAACATAGAGCCTTGACACATGGTTACCTTCAAACACCGTGCTTGTAAGGATTTTATAGTTTCTACTGTTCCTGTAAGAGTTTTTTATTCGAGTGGTTGCATGTCTTGTGTTTGGCTCAGGCTGTTTATGTCTTGTCTCAGCCTCTGAGCTTGTTTTCTGCAGCAGAAGCAGGCATGTGTGCTGCAGGGGATGTTAGAGGTTTGTGTATCTGGGCTGTACAGGATGCCACACATGCACCACAGCCCCGCCATGAGCCCTTCATCTCCTTCTGATGATGTTCAGGTTCCTACGTCAGTCTCAGCCTGGGCCTTATCTGGGGCTGCGGTCTAACTAACTCTGTCACTTCCAGGAACCCAGAGAGTTTCATCTGTTGAAAAGAAAGAGCGAGAGAGAGAAACTAAATTCTGACCTGCAGTATAGTAAGTGACAGCAAAGCCAATGATTATCACATACAGATGTGATAAGAATATATGATAAATAAAAGTTAGTTTACAATTAATATTTATATTAAATTATAAATTTTCTTTTGATGCGTTTATGATGGGTCTGTTTATCCAAAGGCTGGCTATTCTTTGTCAGCCAAAGTGATGTAAAATATCATTAAGCATTAAATCCTGACCATATTAATATATTTACATACTTTGTGATGTTTAAATTGCAAGGCCATTTACAATAATTGTTAATGTACTTTTTAATGTATATTTTATTTTATACATTCTAATGTGGGAGGGACAAGCAAAAACTTAGTTGAGGGAATAGTTTGCCCAAAAATGAAAAGTTGCTGAAAATTTACTCACCCTTGGGCCGTCCAAGATGTAGAGGACTTTTCTTCATTGTTCACTGTTTCTTCATTAGATTCGATTTGGAGAAATCTAGCATTTCGTCACTTACTCACCAACGACCTGTCAATCACATGAGATGGTAGCAATTAGCAAACGGCAAAGATCCAATCAACTTCAAGTCCTGTCCTACATTTTTTCTCATTTCAGAACTGTTTTATTCAAATGTAAGTCTCTATAGAAAAGACCATTATAATTTCCGACTTTATTAAAACTGCCGACCTTAAAGGCCCCTGCACATATTACAGCACTTACTGAAACTGCAATAGGCAGAGATTTGTTAATTGTGTGCAGCTGTACTTTTTATTTATTTATTTAGCCATATCACCCTGTAGCCCAAGACTGGTTGCCCACTGAAGCTAATCAGGGTTGAGCATGGTTAGTACCTGGATGGGAGACCTCCTGGGGAAACTAGGTTGCTGCTGGAAGAGGTGTTAGTGAGGCCAGCAGGGGGTGCTCACCCTGTGGTCTGTGTGGGTCCTAATGCCCAAGTATAGTGATGGGGATACTATACTGTTAAAAAGCAGAGGTCCTGACTCTCTGTGGTCGTTAAAAAATCCCAGGATGTCCTTCGAAAAAGAGTAGGGGTGTAACCCCTGGCTTCCTGGCCAAATTCCTGTCCATCATAATGGCCTCACAATCATCATCCCTATATACCATAGGTCTTCAGCCCTGCTCCTGGGGACCAACTGTCCTGCAAAGTTTATTTCCAACCTGCTTCAGCACACCTGGCCTGTGACTTTTCAAGTGATCTTGAAGAACTTGATTAGCTGATTCAGGTGTGTTTGATTAGTTGGAGCTAAACTCTGCAGGACAGTGGGTCCCCAGGAGCAGGGTTGAAGACTTATATTATATACTGATTGGCTTCTTCACTCCTTCTCCTCTCCACCAATAAGCTGGTGTGTGGTGGGCGTTCTGGCGCAATATGTCTGCTGTCGCATCATCCAGGTGGATGCTGCACATTGGTGGTGGTTGAGGAGATTCCCCCCATCCATGTAAAGCACTTTGAGTACCCAGAAAAGTGCTCTATAAATGTAACAAATTATTTATTTCTTTTGCAAAGAGAGAATATCCTTCTATGTCTTTAATGTGGCCTTTGCACTGTGATGCAGACCAATCTTACATGTTCTGTGTAAACATACAATCCTCAGACCTGATAAAGGCTCCTTGATCAACAAAGCAGCACCTTCTCAGAAGGGCTGAACACATGACCCTGATGGCAGAACTATAAAAGCATGAGATTTCCTGAAGTACAGTGACGTTGAGCTCACTTACAAGAAAGGAGACAAATAAAGAAAGAATTAAGCTACTAATAAACTCTTCTGCTTTCTTATCAAAACCAAGGAACAGAGAAACTGTGATTTGGCAGTTCACTGAGGCCGGTCACAGCCTGCGTCAGGCCAGCTTGCATTCATTTTGACTAAATGGCTCTTCTCTTCCTCTTTTTTGGTTTGATGCTTCATAAAGGAGTTTGATTTAATGGTGACTGTTGTTCCAAACAGAAAGTTCTATTTCAGGAAGTCAGGTGGCATTAGTTTTTTAAATAAAAACAGGTATTTTTTATTTGTATTTTATCACCTGTTCTTATACATGTTATATATAGATTTGTGCTTATATATGTAGTATATAATTTAATTCTCTCGATTTTATTCACAAAATCTGGCCACAATGGAATAACCCACATGAAGCAATTCTCAATTTCCATTTATAGGGCAATATTTACATTTATATCACTAGGAATATGAATCAGCACCATAATTCAAATCATTTGCTCTCCCACTGTCTGTGTTCCGGCTTTTCATCCCACAGTGACTCAATACGAGTCAAAAGACAATATAAACAATGAGTCCCTGTTCTTCTCTGTTCCCTTTTTCTCTATCATTTTTCCTGCTTATGCAGTATGACTTCCCATCAGGCCTATTAACATTCTTGCCACATTCCCAAGAACTGTTTTATAGTTCATAATGCAAGATATGAACATTCTACATTGATGTCTGCATTGATAGAAATCCTAAGTGTTAATCCTGCTAAAAAGTGTTCATTATATTATTATATTATCTTTTATTAAGATGATGTCTGAATGCTCACAAATGATCTTGAACTTGTTTCAATATTGTTTTGCATGTTACAGTGATCAATTGCTAAGCAAATAAAGCACTCTTGTTGGACTCTTGTAATAGGTTGTAAATACACTGTTCTTGTGTTTCAAGTCAGTGCAAGGTTCTTCTTTGTTATTTCTTCAGGGTTTCATGGGAAGTTCTGCTAGAGGAGTCTGAAAAGCACAGAAAGCCCCTAATGCAACTGTAAATATAATGATAATTAGTATTCAAAACAGAAAGAATGGTGCCATTGTCCCTCAGGGCAGGAAGTGACTTCAAACCAAAGTAGCTGTTACTGGAAGCAGATATAGAAAGAAAAAAACATCATTTAAAACATTTCATGAAGAGTCCCTCTCTCTTTCTCACCCAGTGTTTTCTTCCTGTTCCCAAACCTTGACTTCTATACTCTCACCTCAGAGAGGCTTTCTGTGAAACGATAGGGAGATAAGCATTTCCCTGTACTCACTGACACTGGTTGCATTTAGAGCCACTGTGTACAAGATGAGTCATACACATGATTGTCACTCAGGTGAAGGGTTATTCATTCAACCTTTTGAACTCGTTGGTTGACCTGTGTAGACCATTAAAAAGACAGTCATCCCTGTATTGTTAAAAGAAATGCATCACTGTACATTTTAATATTTCTATTTTTATATATATTTCTATGTTTTGTTTGTGTGGTTTAATGTTAATGCACTTACATCAGTGCATGACGTTTTGTTAGGTGAATAATGCATGTGTTTGTTTGTCTGTTTGCATTTACAGGCCTCTTCACATTGCTGTTGTCAAAGAGAATTACCAGTTGGTCAGCTGGCTTATTGAAATATATCGACGGGCCCACAAAGACATGGACGTTTTCAATAACTTAAGACAGGTAAAGTGTATACAAACACACACACACACACACAAACAAGCAAACTCTATTAGATATCATGAACAATAACAATGAACGATATTTTGGAAGCATTTATTAATCTAGATCAGTGGTTCTCAACCATGGAGCCCGGACCCAATAGGGGGCCTCAGCAAACGTGCAAGGGGGCCCCAGCATTACTTAAATGATTCAAATTAAAATATTATTTTGAATACAATTAATATTAATATTATTATTAAAAAGTAAGATATTTAAAAAATGTGGGAATGTCAAGAATGTTGATCTAGATTAATGCTAATCATCATATAGACTAATAAATGATTCATATGTTTAATGTTTTAGCTTTAAAAAAGTTTTAGAAATTAAGACCAATTGATGTATTGTGAACAAATGTGAATTGATAACAATAGTATATATAACATAAATGGTAAAAGTAAAAATATACATAAAATAATTATTTTAGAAATTAAATTAACTAATTTAAAATGAAATGTTATTGTTGGTTCATTAACTAAAGTTAAGGAATCAAACCTTATTGTAAAGTGTTAACCTCTTTAAATAAGCCATAAAGTAGCTTTGAAATTTGTGTTGATCTACCTTGGTCTTTGCAGCAGGATGTAGCTCATTGTTAATGTTGGTGATTGTTGGATTAGAGGATTTAATGCACCAAGAACACCAGGCTAGTTAAACCTAAATTCTTGTCTCTGTGGCACATACAGTAGGTTGGTTAACTGTAATTTCCACATATGTGTTCTTAACTGTCACATGATACCTTTAGCTAAGGTTTGAACAGAAGAGGAATTTACTCCTAGGGCACTGTTGTTCTCAGGCGATGCCACCGCACTGCGTGCGGTTATTTGAGCACTTTTAGAACTGCTGGCCTGCCCACTTGTGTGCTCACCACATGGTGACCACAACACACGCAACCTGTGTCCTCTACCTCATCATTCTCCCATGTTTCAGCAACATAAATTGAGCGCACAGACCTTTCGGACTGTTCCCAGGCATTCACATCCTGTTCTTCTCCTTTTCTGGTTGTGTTAACCCATACTTCCACCAACCATATTATCAATTACCGCCATTGCATGTCTAGCCAGACCTCAAAAATCACCTCAAATTCATGTTTAGGTTTCACTTGACAGATGCACTCTTTCACACACACAAACATGAGCGCTTGTACATTCACAGGCAGCCGGCAGTTACCAGAAGCTGCGCGTACATCTTAGCCACTGGCTGAAACTTGTTTCTATCAGATTGTTGAGGTTAACTTTTGTGTTATATCCTGTGTTCAATTCTTATTTCCCCAGAAATGTGAACTGCGCATTAGCATGTCTTTGAAGCTTAGATGGAGTTTTGAGTAGCTTTTGTTGCAGCATTGCTTGAAAATTACTGTTTTGGTGTTTCAAAATCCGAGATTAGTGAGTAAATACAGTGAATGATGCAGTATTATAACAGCAAGTAGATACACATCTGACTATTACAGTGCTGAGGAAAGTGTTACTACAGCTATCATTATTACTACCACTATAATTTGTATGTGCCAGAATGACTTGTATCACAATGTCTCCGTTTCCACTTCTCACTCTTTTAAAAAATGATTGTGCTCCCACATGTTGGTCATGATCAAACACTGGCACTAACATTTGAAATGCACATGAGAAAAAGCATGCTGTGTGTGTGTGTGTGTGTGCATGACAAATGTGTTTTTATGTGTTGCCTATTATCAGTCAAGCAAGATCGCAGCTGATGAGTTGTTTGCATGGCTGTAAGTAAATTCAGTTTACAGAAGTGTATGTTTTTATACTTGTATGAGTGTATGTGCAAACACATGTAAAACGGCTGCTGCATGCATCTGAACTTAAGTATCCTCATTCCGAGAAGTCACATGACCCCCCTCACACCCTGGGTTGTTTCTCAACATACCTTGTGTTGAGATTTGCAGGGTATTAAAAGGGACTTTCCCTTGCGCTCGCTTGCTCTTTCTCACTCTTCTGCAGCCTATTAACATGCTTATCTTTTTTATCCTGAATTATAAAAATGCTTTTACTACAAGTTGGAGACCCATAGATCTTCACAGAAACACTATACAATGGCCTAACAATGCCTAGCTATATTAGCATTCATAAAATACAAATTGTACCTATTTACTTCCTTAATGCTTGTTCCTGGTTTTATTGTGATTTGTTGGTGCATGTTACTCCATAGAGAAAAATATTATGGCTGATAATGCCTAAAACCAGCTGAGCACCAGCTTGGCCAGGCTTAAACCAGATAAGACCAGCAAACCATCTTATGCTGGTTTAAACTGGATTCAGCAAAACACATTTAGATCTGGTTCCATTCTGACATGCAAGACCCACTTTTCCTGATCCAAGCAATTCTCCATGGATGGTACAAAATACAATTTATTTAGCATTAAATTACCTCTTTAATTGTTCTTCTCATAAATTACATGGACATAAAATGGGTCTAATTTAAAGTGTGACAAATGCATAAAAACAACTACTCGTTTATCTTTTTGTTGCGTGCACTAATTATTTTTCCTGTATTTTCTTGTCCATTCATCAGTGCTAAATCATGCAGGCTTTAGTTTCAGTTCACTACAGTGTGTTTTTGGCTCATGCATCTATGTCATGAGTCTTCCCCTCAATCGCTTTCCTTATTCATCCAACATTCCACTCTTTTTCCCCCCTGTGTTTACACACAGGAATGTGAATCTGAGGACACACTGCAGGGGAGAGGAAAGGGATTTTCCCTCTCTGATCCATCTCTTCCCTTCATCGTTCCCTTTGCTCGATCATTTCTGGCTCCTCCTTTCCCTTTCTGTGTCTCTCTAATCCCTCCTTTTCCAAGCACTTACAGTTTCTCTTTAAACCTTTTTTGGTTGCAGGTTCATTGGTATTGTAAAATGAGAAAGGCAATATTACGCTAGAATAATGTGTTGTATTTCTTATACAATTTCCTGTTTCAGGGCTTGCCTAAAGAGGATGTAAGTGTGTTTTATCCATCGCTGTTCCTAAGTTAGATTTGTGGTTATACAATTGATCTGAGCACAAAGAAAAACCCATCAAATTTGATGTGCGGTAACATGTCTTCTAACACATACACACACCAGCAAGTGTGTGATGCTTGGTGAGTCAGACAGGATTCAGGGAAATAGGAGCCTTGTTTTCATAGGAAGGGAGGGCCAAAGGCATTGGGACACCAGAGGAATTTCTGTCTTCATTCTCGCTGTACTTTTTTTTTTCTCTACTGTGCCTTACTGGAACATCCTCCCTCAAGTGTCAAACCACCCCCCTCCGTGTGTTAGCCTAGAGCCAGCTTTACCTGCTAGCACATCTGAGCTGATGACAATCTATAGTGGGTATCATTAAAAACCACAAACCTCTTTATCTTTCAATCTTCTTCTGTCAACAGAACACATAGATGACAGATTACTTGACTTAGTGTGCAGTATTAGCTTCCTATATTAGCAAAAATGCTAATATCCAATGTGTTTGTAGTGTACATCTGGATGCAAGATTAAAAATGTACCTTTTTCAAGTGATGTGACCCATGTAGTGCTTTATTTTTTTCTTCCTTTGCCTGAGTTAAATGAAGGAGCTTCAAATAAACTAGTGCGGTGTGTTGCCGTTTTGACTCGGTTCATGTTTGTTAGGCTTGGTGTTTTACCTCTTTGACTTTATTATTTAACTGCTGTCAATAACACTAGTTCTTTCAATGTAAGATTTTACCTCAGGTGAAGGAAACAAAAATAAACTCGCCCATGATTGTTTTGACCAAGATTAACCAACTGTTCATTCACAAAACAGACACACAAACTTTGGCTCGTTACAGTTGTCAGTTAACGTATCTACTGTAAATTATGTGTGAAATTGAAATAAATTATATAATAATTTATATTTTTCGAATGTATCACTCTGTTAATGAATTTATAGCACACAGAGTCATAACCACCACAGACATTGTAATAATAGTCATGATAGTTTTGCGATAGAAATGTTAAACTACTAATAATCCAGTAACATTTTAAAGGTACATTTCACAGTTTTAAATTGAAATTATAGATAGTCATTCATGTGATTCATGCGTTTCAGAAATAAAGGACAAATCATGAAACATTCACAAATCCGTTTTTAGAATAATATGATGAAAAGTGAACGTGCATATTTTAAACCAAAATATAATTTGCAGATAGTTCAAATGTATTACTTGAGAATACATTCTTGTTCTTTTCTTAAATCCCTTAAATATTTCATTCGTTTAAATAAAAAGAACCATTACTGCCCCTAAAAAAAAGAAAAAATTTGGTCTCCCTCCAGTGTTCAAGTCATGGTTACGGCCTTGGTTGTACATGTTTGTTTGCATGTGTTGGATAAGTCACTGCAGGGCTGTTTACAAATTTATCTAATTATTATCAGATCTATGGAACTGACCTTTAACCTGTTAGACAAGTTCCAGGTTAGCAGCTTATGGTTACAGGAATCCACACCAGGATGTGACTCAACCCATTAGCTCAAATACACCTGAACACCATATCAGACCTCCGAGTGGTAGATTTTTTAGATGCACTGCTCAAATATTGACATGCAATAGGAGTCGTGGGAGTTTTGAGTATGCAGTCTAAATATAATTGGGCCTTAAATATACTGTGGATTTGATTAACTGAATCAGTAAACTGTCTTTCTCTATCTCTCTCTCACTCTCTCAGACACCATTGCACTTGGCTATAATAACCCGTCAGCCTATTTTGGTGAAAGCTCTGCTGGATGCAGGCGCTGACCCTGGAGCTTTGGACCGTAACGGACAGACTGCGCTGCACTTGTGCTGCGAGCGCGGAGAGGCCGATTGCCTGTCTGTCATCCTCAGACACTACCCCCAAAACCCCTCGCCCCATCTGGAGATCAGGAACTATGAGGGTAAGTGCTGGACCTAGATCTACATGAGTTTATCTATATGTATTTTTGTGTGTGTGTGTGTAATTTTTTTGTAGCATAACAAAAAAAGGAAAAGGTTATTTCAGTTGTCTGTTGGCTTGCGTATAGATGTGCTGACACTAAAACTCTCTTGACTATGGTCCTGTTTAGTACAGCAATACGAACAAATACATAACCGTAAAATTAACATTTCTCTTGTCTGTGTCATTATGCAACACTTCTGAAAATTATACATCAGAAGGAAGAACTTTTTTTTTAAATCCACTGGGGGGCAGTAGACAGAAAAAGAGCTGCTGGTCATTGATTTTCCTGCATGAGTGTGTGATTATGTTTTGGAATATTTTTGTTTATCAGAAATGAGGGGTGTATATCGCCATCTAGCTTTATTTGTGGATTCTGACACAACAATTCCCTCTTGTAACAGTATAGTACTCAGATAACCTCTTCTAGACTGCTAAAGAAAAATGTTGATTAATTATGCTGAACTAAACAGTTTTATTATTTATTTAATTTTTATGTCAGTGTAGTCCTAAACAGTCCTTACAGTTGGTATTTGATTCATTCATGCATATGAAATGTAACATGAGACATTTCCTGTTGTTGTTGTCACAATTCAAAAAGTCCCTAGAAACACAGTGAGGAGGCGTATTAGTGTTTTTGTGTATTTTACCAAATGAAACATGCCCAAACTTGTTTCAGTGGGTCATTCAGATTACAGCCTGAAGATGTTAATGTCTAATTTAAGGTCTGACGCCTCTCCACCTGGCTGTGCAGAATGGAGATAAAAAGTTGGCAAAAATCTTATTGAAGAGTGGAGCTGAAATCAATGCTGGGGTCAGTGAGTTTATCATCATTTCCACTACCTGTTTTGTTGTCTGATGTGATGTTATATTTTCCTTATGCATGAGTTATTGCATGAGGACATGAGTTGTGTATTATGATCTATAGTGTTTGCTGCACACGCTATTTGTTTATTGTGTCTCTTTTTACTCTTTTATCACAGGATAATAAGAGTGGTCGAAGTCCACTGGTTCATGCTGTAGAAAACAACTTTACTGACATGGTCATCTTTCTGATCGAGGTGCGTGTGCGTATATAAATATAAATTTGATGAGTCATCACTTGTTTCACAATCTGTTCCCTTCATTTTTATCTTGTACTTCTATGTTAGTGAGCACAGGGATGAACATGTAAAACTATGAGACTGAAATCTTTAACTATTAATCTTTATCACTCCGTTTTTATCCGTGTGTGGATTAGAACCAGTTATTAATGTTCACAATGTCTTTTTCTGTGTGCCGTGTCTTTCAGAGTGGGTGTGATGTGAACGCACAGTCTTATAGTGGGAATACAGCATTGCACAGTGCCTGTGGCAGAGGTCATCTAGAGATTGTCAGGGTCTTGCTGAAAAATGGAGCCGACAGTAGTCTGAAAAACAACCATAATGACACTGCCATCATGGTCGCAAAAAACAAAAAAGTAAGAACTAAAAGAATGGCATTAGTTTATTTGGAAACATACTGTACTGTATATTATTCAATTATTCAATCTTTCATTATAATAGTCAATAGATTCAGCAGAGTATATATAAAATGCAAACACTGCCAACAAGTGGTGATTCACAGAACTTTCATTGCTCAGTTTTATTGCATATTAATTACCAGTCAGACATCAACAAAGATGGATTATAGTTGTATGAAGCCCCATGAAGAGCCTTTCTTGTAAGAAACAAAACAAAAATTTATTGCAACTTTATATTCCACAACTGTGTTTTAAAATCTCTGAGTTTTAACTTGGACATAATTACAACATTATAAATGAAATTATGCTTAAAGTGCTTTAACTTTAGAAACTTTAGCTTTATATTATTGTCGTATCTTTACTTCACATAATCAAATTCATCTCAAATTTAAGCCCTATTTCCTCTGTCAGTCCATTCACCATAACTTCATTAACTTTTCTAAACATGTATTTATGTGGTTTTGTCTTAAGGTATCTGATGTGCTGCGTGGGAGAGGCACTCGCAGCTGCACTGTGAAAACTAGCAGTAATGGTAAGCATCTCTCTGAAATTACAAGAGTGAATTTATTTCTAAACACCTTGTTTAAACGTTTTCACTCAAGTTTTGCTCTGCTGTTTAGGCTCTCTGTCCCCTGGCAGCTCCAACAATTCTCCCCGAATGACTCCCACTTACTTCACTTTCTCCCCACATTCTCCTGTGGTTCCAGTTTTACCCCGAAGTCAGTCAGCAGACAACATTTCAGAACATCAGTCACCGATGAACAGCAATGAAAAAACACTGCAAATGTTGCCACGGACACACCATAATGTAGCAGTGGACAACAGGACAGGCTACGGAATGGCACTCCATCATTTCCCATATCTGTTACCTTCTGGGTACGACCAAATTAAGCCCACTGTCTCTTATATCCAGAGAAGGATGCTAATCGCAGATTGCCCACTTTACTATCCCACTGGTATTCAAACACCTCCATATTACTCAGATGCACAGATCATCTTACTCCCCAGTTTCCCAGTGCCGGTCACATATGGCACTCCTTCACAGGGTGCCGCTAACCAATCACGGCCATCCAGTCGCAGCAGTAACCAATCAGACATCTCTACTGTGAGCGTAAACAGTGAAGAAAGAAGTGTGAGTTGATAGTTGCTAGATGTTTAAGCAGCTGGTCATTTTAAAGAGATTGTTCACCCAAAAATGAAAATTCTATAATTATTTACTTATTTGAAAACTACATGGTATGTGTGTTGGAGCAGGGTTGGAACAAAACTCTGCAGGGCTCTGGCCCTCCAGGAATTGAGTTTGACACCCCTGCTTTAACGGGATAGATCACCCAAAAATGAAAATTCTTTCATCATTAATTCATCCTCATGTTGTTCCAAACCTGTACGAGTTTTCTTCTGTGGAACATATTTTGATGAATGATGGTAACCAAACAGTTTTGGTAACCATTGACTTCCATTGTAAGATGGAATGACATGAGGGTTAATAAATTATGAATTTTGGGTGAATTATCGCTTTAAGTGGCAGTGTTTGAATATTATTTGTGGTTGGACAACACACTGACTGATTTATAGCATTTATTTGTATCTAAGCATTTTTCAAATATATGTTGATTCTGATATTGTTTTTTCCAAATCAATAATGTGTAAGTGTATATTTGTGTTACCAAGTGTTTTGCTATGTATGATTTTGTCATGTATTATAAAGGGCTATGATATTTATACTTCAATAGCAAGATAGCAGAATTATTATTATAATTTTTTTTTTCTCTGTTTTCATTTGTGATTTTCTTCTTGTTTACCATCGAAACTGTGTGTTGGTCAGTGTGTTTATTGACATCGTTTTGGTTTTCCCATGTTCAGATTTTCCAGATATTAGTTATTCAAATTCATTTGACACACACACAAAAAAATCTTTAAGTGCATTCATGTTTACAAAAAAAAATGTCATTGTCACAAATTGCACTTCACATTTTGAGGCTCTCAAAAGGGTGTTATTATGGTACACACATGACAGCTGATATCAACCAAGTATAATGCCTATAGACACCAGGATAGGTTTTTCTAATGAATGCAGTGCCATTGTCAACTATTGTCAAAAATGCCATATACACAAAATCCCAAAATTGTGACTAAGTGCCACTTTTATTTTAGTGCGAGTCTTTGAATGGCAGCTTGAAATCACTGTCTGATGAAGTTTGGACTCACTGTTTAGTGGCTTAAATTGGATAATCTTTTAGAAGGCCAGTGTGGAAAAAAAAAAGAGTAAACTGTAAGATTAAAACTATTGCCAGAATCTTGAGAAACTGTGATTAAAATGATAACCACATGGGTTTTGATATGCATTTGCCATAGTGGTACTTAATGGTGATGTTGCTGACAGTTATGTGAATGTATGAATTTTGCTTTTCATATGAATGTGTGAATATAAGAGCAGCATAGTATATAGTAGCCTAATTTACTATGAATAAAAAAATACATATTTTTATACATGTGTGCATTTCATGACTAATATTTGAATAATACATAATATGATTATTTCTTTGATGTTAAGCACTTTTGAAGAAAAAAATATATGTTTTTGTTATATGAAGGTCACATTAAAACGGTCTGAAACGTTTTCCATGCCTTCATAATTTTTTTACTACTTTTCAAAAGCTTTTTATGTATAGTTTTATTTAGCCTACCCTTTGTCCAGATTTTTTTTCATCTTAACATAAAATATACATTATATCATGTTTTAAACTTTAATGATCAAAACACAAACCATTTCAATATATCTGTTGTGAAAATTATATCAATAATTTGTAGCCTATAATTTTTCAAACATGAAAAAAATATTTCACAACAACTAAAAAAATTGCTATGTCAGTGAAGAGCCTGCTTGATACAAAATATGAAACTTGTGGTGTGTGAAGAAAAAGAAAGAAACAATCTATGATTAAATATTTTTTATGTTTCTGGAAGTCCACAGAGCCAAAAGTGCCTACATAGAAGTACGGAGGTGGACTTGAAAATGGTACCGCCCACCAAATTCAAACTCTGTCATTTGATTGGTCGATTTCGATTCGTGCGTATGCGTCCTCTGAGATCGATTCAACGGACGGCCATGTTAAATCTCTAGACGGAAGAGACAAAAGCCACAGCAACAAAGAATATTTCAAGAAACGTTCGAAGAATTAATCAAATTCACGAAGATTCAAATCCTTCAGAATTCGGAGGTAACAAACTCGGACATAATTATAATTGAATTAGACCGTTATCTTTCCCAACGTGCGTAGCGGGCCTCTCTTGCGCTCGTGTTAGCATCTAGCTAAGCTAACCTGTCTTAACAATGTACGTTAACCGCTGGCAGGTTGAGTTAGCATGAGCTTTAATAGTATGTTTTAAATATAGTTCCCCGGTATCTCATAACGTTACCTCAGGAAACACAGTTCACCATATCTCCAGAAAAATGTGTGCGTTGTGTTGTTCTTATTTAATGTTGTGAACTGAATGCCTGAACTTATGCATTGAATCTGAAAGGAGAAAACTTTGTCTATAAACCACTTTTTGTACAGTTAACTTAGCTCGGCTAACAGCTCCTGACCCACACGCTCACTTTTCGCTTCAGAGCTGATCGATTCGTTAAACCTTTAGGGAATTGAGAATGACCTTAAATCCGATTCGACTTGAATCAGATGTGTTGTTGATCCAAATTATCTTACGAATTCCAAGTGTTTCCACACCTATAACAAGTGTTCGAAACTGTTAGCTAAACGTGGCTGCCTTGCTAGCTAGTGATGAAGTATTATTAAGTCATAACGATACTATGTAGTTTATGTTCTATTTAATCTAATTCGAACATGGCTGTTCGAAAGTATTTAAAGACGAACTGTGAAACTAACCCTTTACTTGTTGCCAGAAATAGTTAATGCTTGATATGATACTCATTTTGTATTATATCTTTAATATTTGGCAGGTATTCCAGAAATTCCTCCACTGAAGCGTTCAGGAACTGTGACAAAGAGAGGAAAAACGAGACATCGCTTAGCCAGAGTGGAAACTTTTATGGACTGTTAACATTATTTTGGACTCGTAATCCTGCATTGACTTTCAGTTTGAAATCCCTCAGTTTGGAGTTTTTCAGCTGGTTAAATAGGAGCAAGTGACACTGAGCAAAGTTTGAAATTCCTCATGACGAAGCGAATACAGGAATTTTAAGAGCACATTATTAAGAACCTTTTGCTGAGCCTTGTGCTTTTGTATGTAAATACTTTATACCTTTTTTGTTTTGATACCAAAAAGAATACAGAGGGTACTACAGGATTTCTGCAATCCAGCTGTTAAAAAAAAGTGAATACTTTGTATATTTTCAGGGATAACGTAAAAAGTGACTTTTGAAAAGCATTAATAGATTTTTCGCTAACTTGCATTTTTGAAAACCCTTGTGTAAGACTTGAAGTTTACAAGTACCTGTTTGCTAGTTATTTTGTACATTGGCTCTAGGTTTGTTATATATTTATTCATATAAATATAATTTTCTCCTATATTGGGAGAGCTTATTATAAACAATTGTTATACGCCAGGCACTCTTCTTTTTAAGAGGTCTGTACGTACTGGAAACTGTTTACACACAAGCGCAGTGAGCGTAACAGTAAAACAGTTTAACGAATAGTTGAAAAGTAGCCACACAAAAAAAGCAAAAATTAATTTGTTTGAAACCGTTGAGGAAAACATCTGACAATGGCTACAGCGAGAACAGAGATCCCTTCTTCAGTCATGCCAATGAGCAAACAGAATGGACAGTCCAAGCCCTTGACCCTCCAGTCAGGATCGCTTACTTCCTCAACACAGTCAGGAAAAACACCTGTGATGCCCCAGAAAGGAAGCAGTATACACCAAAGCAGTGGCGGTATCAGGTAATATTTATTGATTTAAAATAGTTTGAAGAATCTGGTTCCTTTTGACACATTGATTCCTTGCATTAATCATGTCAGTTAAGCTGTTTGTTATGAGTATGCAACTGTATAAAGTCGAATTGAACTATTTCTTCTAGGTTTGGTGATGACTGGAAGAAATGCCTGCAGCTTCCACCGAAAGACTTGCGAGTGAAAACCACAGTAAGTTATGAAACTTGTTTTCTTATTAAAGGGTGAATTTATATTTTATTTTTTTATTATTATTATATAATTGGCTGCTGGTCCCCTTATTCCCAGTGTTTGACTTTTAAACATCCTCCTTTGACAGGATGTGACTGCAACCAAAGGAAACGAGTTTGAAGATTACTGCCTTAAGAGGGAACTGCTGATGGGCATCTTCGAAATGGGCTGGGAGAAGCCTTCCCCTATCCAGGTAGTTTAACCTGTATACACCATTACAGTATGATCCTGTTGCAAAGTTGACACATTTATCTAAACCAATGTGGTTGATTGGTTTTGTCTGCTTAGCTTATGACTTTTAGAATAGTTGTTGAGAGAGCCTGTCTTGAGTTTTGTTTGCCCCTCCCACCCCACTGTCTGTCTCTGTAGGAAGAGAGTATTCCTATTGTCTTGTCAGGGAGGGACATTCTTGCCCGAGCTAAAAATGGCACAGGTAAAAGCGGAGCCTACCTCATCCCCCTCTTGGAAAGGATTGACCTGAAGAAGGACTATGTTCAAGGTTGGAATACAATATGAAAAGCAAATAAGTTATTTATAATGCATTAATTCTACCATTTAAGCATTTGGGGTCTGTAAGACTTTTTGTGCCCTTGCTTAGCAAGGGATGCATTTGTTTAATTAAAAATTAGAGAAAAATGTAATTGTGAATGATTTGATTTCAAATGTACTTTGTTCCAGTGATGGCAAAGCTGAATTTTCGGCAGCCATTACTCTAGTCTGTAGCGTCACATGATCCTTCAGAAATCATTTGAGTATGCTGATTTGGTGTTCAAATATTTCTTATTGATATTGACAACAGTTGTGGAAATGTGATGCTTTTTTTTTCCCCTTTCAGGATTGTTTGATGAACACGGTTTAAAAAGAACAACATTTATTTTAAATACAATTTTGTAACTATGTAAAAGCCTGTAACTGTTACTTTTATTCAGCAAAGACCGATTAAATTGAGCAAAGTACTGACCCCAAGCTTTTGAACATGTTTATATAAATTAAAAAAAAAAAAATTTCCCCCTCTTAACTTTATTTTAGCCATAGTGTTTGTACCTACTCGTGAGTTGGCTCTTCAGGTGAG